TAAAACCCTGGATACTGATTCAAGTTGCAGTGACCCAGCTGCTGGGCAGCTCAGGCACCTAATACACGCTCAGGCAAATGGCTCCTGCCGTTTAAGATAATTCCACCTCCACAAGCCACAGTGAGCTAGTTATTCTTAAAATGTTACAAAGTCAGATGCAATCACCAGCTGGAAATAAAGCTAACTTATTAAAAAGATGATGCTCATCCAAAGCATACCAGACTCAGTTAAGATTTCTTGATTAAATCCTGACTTAAAATTTAACCAATATACATTGCTTGCAACAGGTATTACAGCATTTGACAGGGAAAACTTACAAGTATATCACGTGTGTATATAATTCAGTTTTCTGGCTACACACATTTCAATCATTAATGCCATTTTATTAAAACCAGATTTGGGGGAGAAGGGAGAAATCAATGCCTTAATTGGAAACAAATCTCCCAAAGCATAGTGCGGGATGTGGCAGACTTTGCAGCGTGCAGAGGAGCAAAGCAGCCTGCACCACGCTCACCACACACATCTCTCTGGGGCAAGCAAACCAGAGAGCCCCTACGGTGTTCAGCACTTGGGGGGCACCGAGAAGAAAAAATGCAGTGCCACAGAAATATACCCGTGCTCCACTCCCTGCGGTAGTTTTGGGCTTTGAGTGACTTTTTCATTCTTCAGCAACGGTGAAGAATTTGGATAACGCCAAGTTAAATAGACATACACCTCTGTGAAAACCACAGCCATCTTCCTTGCTCCTGGTTTATAAATAACAACTAGGAACACAGTATTCTGCCAAAAGGGAGAAAAACCGCTTAAGATTCAAAGGAGATTGTCAAACATCTTCAGATGAGTATCTCGGGGGCTGAAGCAGGAAGGATGGTGCCAGCTGTAAGCTCAGGCTCAGGAATCATTTAAAGAGAACGATGGCACTAAGATTTGCAGCTATTTCTCCAACTGCTTTCGCAGAAGAGGACATCTCAGATTAAGTTGAGCAGGGTACAGAGGGGGTCAATTTATAGAATATTCATGGGAGGAATTACTGGCAATGAATAGCAATATACATAGCATTACACCATGAGGCATTTATCACACATCAGTCAGATACAATTTAAATGCAAACTGGCTTACCACTGACATTTCCCCAAGCTCCCAGCACAAAACTGGGGACACATCTGCTCTCATTAATTTAAAGTTTGCATTGCCTGTGCAAAAAACAGGTATTTATCCTAGAGCATGAGACAGTACGCATTGCGCCATAACTAAACATTTTAATTTGTGCAGCTGAATTCAACCTTAATGCATTCAAAAGCCTTTAATGTTCGAAAGTTGCATAAAAATTGCTGAAGGTAATGATACTGTTTCATTACTGATTTCCCCCCACACTTGGGTATCTATATTCACTTCTTAAAAAAAAAAAATAAAATTGCCACTCAGGCTATAGTTCCTCATCCCTCCCCTATCACGAAGTTGCTCACATGCAGATCCCTCCAGATGCGCCATCACACACCAAAGCTCAACTGGAGTCACTGACTTCTTGCTGCCACCCAGCCCACACACCCTGGAAAGCTCCACAGAGCTCAGAAGTCCACCAGGAGCTGGGGTCTCCTCTGCTCCAGCAGTACCTCCTCCCACCACTGCTGGCCAGTTCATGATCCCGGGTGTGGTAGAAGGTGCCAGTATCAGCACAAAGGAAGCAAAACAAGAAGTTTCATCTGCTGGTGAACAAGGACCACTTCACCTTCTGCAGGTGGAATCCCTAGGGGAGCACAGCAAACATCCCCCCAGCACATCTGACACCAACTCACAGACCAGCTCTGACAAGGCTTCCCTCCAAGTAATTGGCTCCCTCATGTTAATGAATTTCTCTGGATAAGTGGTTTCCTCCAGCCCTTAAATGAGACATCAGCTGCCTGGACTTTAACCTTGAAGCAAAAGAACAGCATCGAGTCTGCCCAAGCAGCCACAGCAAACCTCACTGATAGAAGTCAATGTGGAATTCAACTGAAACATTCGGATGTGATTAGGGCAGAGGGGAAAAAAAAGCAACAAACCTCGACACAATCAGGGTAGCGTTAACATCCTCTCCCATATCTACTGCTTCTCACTTGTTCCTTTGGAGGGTCTCCAGGGAATTACCAACAGAGAACGGTGTCACGTAACTGGAGCTCAGCTGAACATGGCTCTGCAAAGGAAACTTTATTTCAAAAAGAGGTATGGCAAATCCTGGAAGAAAAAATCCAGAGGGCCATAAAATACAGAGATACAATTTCTGGCTTAGAAAACTCTCCAATCAAAAGCCAAAAAGGTGTTTTAAGAAATAGCATGACATGCTTGTCCTTATATATGTTATTTGACAGAGAGGGAGATCACTATACAGCATTTTAGTCCAAACTACTGTGTCCTACTGCAGGATCAGAGAGACATTGATGGTCTCCTGTCAACGTGCAAAAACCTCCATGGGCCAAAGATGAGTCAGCTGGGATTTTTTCACTTAACTGCAGTAAAGATTAACTGGACAAGTTAAGCTGCAGTATCTAATGAAAACATTTCAATGTTCCAGCGATTACCTATTTCTCAAGACTGTTGTGCAAAGTTGTTTTATCAAGTACCTTTACTTATATAAGAAGTGGCTGGTTTGACTTCCAAATTCCCCACGAGCATTTGTGAATTTCTCCAAATAAAAAACAGGAAATACCCATTTACAGTCTGTGAACTGTAAGGTGACATGTTTTCAGTGAGTAGCTCACATCAATCACAGCTGAACCAATTTACTTCAGCCCCTCCCAGTCAGTCAGAGGAATCAACAGAAAATATCTGTGACATCAGCATGAGACCGAGTGAAAATGATGGACCTGTTGCAGGGATGAAGGAAGTTTCTTGGCCATTCAGCACAGTGAGCACACGACAAGCACCAAGGAGTGTCTTATTTTTTCAAGTAAATTTGGGAAGTCTGGGTACCACTCCGGTACCCAGTATTTTGATGCAGACTGGAACACAAACAAAGGACCAGCTCTCCTGGGAGGATCCAGATGACAGAGTAGAATGAAAAATCCAGGGGAGATTTATAAAAAGGTTCTCAGCACCATTTTGGTCCCCCAACTGCACAGTGATAAACAGACACACAAAAAAAGAAGCCCTTATCAAGTATGATCTTTCATGCCCTTGATATGGGACTGAAGGTCAAACACTTTAAATGACACTGTCATTTCTGCAAATTCTGCAAGACTGAGAGCTACTGGCACGGCCTGTGCCGAGACAATTGGTAGCATCTATGTTCAGCTCTCACAACCCACTGGAATCCAGGTTAACAGCTGTAAAAGTATAAAGTACTAGCAGGCTCTAAGAAATTCTAATGAGCCAAGAAAAATGGCTTTTCCATACAAAAAAAGAAGTTCAAATGAAAATATTTGATTACTGAATCCCCATTTGTTCCCTGGATTCTTAAATTCAGAGCCTTTCTTTTCTCCTCAGGAAAGACAAGGTGAAAGTAAAGCACACAGAGTTTTTAAAGTCTTTTTCTACTGGGAAAGAAATGAAGATGTTTGGTTAAAAGAAGTCGTCACTACAGTCCTCATTAAAGTAAAACACAACACTTTTTGTTCCCCTGTAGGGAAGGGAATGAAAGAAAGGTATCAGCAGACTTGGTTCACTGGCAAGCGAGCTTACAAACGAACTGCTGGTGCGTGACAGTTTGGGAGTGGAATAAGCAGGAAATAGGACAAAAAACCAGCCAGCTCCTGGGAAGAGCTGCGAAAGCATCACAAGGGACATAGACTGTTCCCTTCTGGGCAGCCCTTCACGCTGGGCAGCCCTTCAAGGGTCCTGGTGATTTCTCTGCGTTCACGTAATACTCAGAAAAAGGAAAGGGAGGGGATCCTTTCCCTTCCCACTACCACACTGCAGCCAGCAGACCTCTTCCAAGGATGCCAGCAGCAGCCACGCAGCTTGTCATGTCCAACACGTCCCCGAGGAAGGGGCACACACTACTCGGCAGGCCCGTCACCAGAGCTGGGAGTTACCTCTGCTCCAGCTCAAAATTCCAAGGTAGAAAAACGTAAGCTTTTCTACTGTTCCAGTACAGCCATCAGAGAGTTATCTTTGCATTTCCTCTATAAATATAGAGCTAATGTTTGCCTGATTGATTAAACAAAGTAATTTTACAAACCCGATTGGATTTTGCCTGCAGTACCCTGCCTGCCTGTTTTCATGGGGAAAATTTCATATTCTCACATGAGACAGAACAAGAAGCAGCTGATTAAACAGTCAAACAACAAAATGCTCACAAGGGCTTAATTTCATCCATTCCCCCTTCAACTTTACATCAGGAAATCAATGCAGTGGAAAAGAAGAAAACCAAAGTGAATGGCCAATTACCCAACGCACACAGCAGTGCTGTTCTGAAAAAGGCAGGTCAGGAAACTCACCTGAAGAAAACAAATCTGTGCCCTGGCTCCAGTCGTTGTTCACATCATCCAAATACCTTGCAGCGATGATTCCTGGTGGCCACTTCTCCCTTCAGCACGCCTGGCCCAAAGGCTTATTTCTTAGGCAACGACTGCTTGCTGTGAACTACAACCAGAAGATGTGCCATACAGACCCACACACACCCTGATCCCATCGGCAGGGAGAAGTGTCCTGCTGTCCTCCAAACCCCAGAGTTAGCACACCATTTACAGAGCTGGACAGTGCATTTCTCCAAGAGGAGGACAAGCTAACCTAACATAGAGGTTCAGAGTTACACCATTTTGCCCAGCAAAATTTTGTCCATTTGAGTCGCAGAAGCATTTTCTACCTTTGAGAACGTACTGCTCAGCCCAGAGTTACTCTAATGGAAAAATGTCGTTGCAGGTGTGCTTTTACTCACGTAGCAAGGAAGCAATTCATTAATATACAGGTTTGTTTTAAAGAGTTTAAGAAATCTTCACAAGTCACAACCTGTATTATTAATTGGAAGATCAGTATTAAAAAAGATGAGCCGTCTACACACTGAAATGAAAACTACAAGAAGATCATAAATACAAAATTTATATGGAATTTCAGTAAAAATACCCATAGTATAAATTTCCAAACTTTCATATAAAAGACAATCCTGTATAACATTTCCATGAAGAACACCTACATAACAAGTGTTGCCCAGCACAGGTGCAGCATACACAGAGTATTCCAAGACTTACATACAAGTTTGACACAAATCTCAAGGACAGGAGCTTTGAAAGGCTGTATGGATTTCTAGCCTCTTTCAAAAGTAACCCACTCCATTTTTTATTTTTTTTTTATTTGCTTTTAAGCATTCACATTTAGATCCATCAGGGACTGGTTTTTGGAGTGGCATACATCCTGCTTGAAATTTAAATTGGTTCTCAAAAATCCTACGTCATTTTTGACGTGCAACTGTAGTTTACAAGCCTTACAGCCCTATCCTTAATCAAAACATTTTGAACAGCGTTAGCAGCAGCTTCTCCAAGGACATTTTGTCTATACCGAGACGGCAATAACAAGTTCCATTTTTTAAAATTAATCATAACAAGGGATAGAGATAACAGAACACTCAGAGTGCACAAAAGGTTGTTACAGACTTTTTTTATGGAAACACACCAAGTTTAATAATACTGTAATAGTCTAATTAGTACTATATTTGCATGATTCAATTACCTCAACATACCTCAACTGCTACTGTGTTCCACTGTCTGTAAGCTTCTACTCAGTTACATGGGACAACTCTAAAATAACACAAGACAAACTGTTCTCATTATAGTGCAATATATATATATATTCTCAACTGTATGTTTTCACACATGTGAAAGCATATTTACACGTGTCCACTATATGAAATTCAAGCTCCAGACTGAGAAGGTTCCTTAAAAAAATTCCTGTTCAATATATGCAGTGTGATTTTGTTCTTTACACAACTGTAATAGACAAATGCAAAGTTTCTACTGTATAGTTCCAAGATACAATATGCAACAGGACACAGACAGGAAAAGTTAAGCTTTCTTAGCAAATATGCTCTATATGAGCATTTTAAAAAGAAAAAAAAAAACCAAACCACAACTTCCAACACAAATTGGCCCTGTTAGTCTCAAAGGAAACCAGCATTTTGCACTTGCAACTTGTCTCTTCTAATGAGATGATTTCATCTCTGTTTACTCTTTATTCTTGAAGAACAAGATGAAATCAATGCATATTAGCAAGGTTTATGCAATATATACAATTACAAAAATAAAATCAAGATTAAAACACATCTTATGCACATAAACACACATCAACATAATAGGAGTATACAGGATCTCACTGTATCATAGAATGGTCTGGGTTGGAAGGGACCTTAAAGATCATCTAGCTCCAACTCCCCTGCCATGGGCAGGGACACCTCCCCCTAGACCAAGCTGCTCCAAGCCCCATCCAGCCTGGCCTTGAACACATCCAGGGTGTAGGTAATCCTTACCAAATAAAAAAGCCTTATATATTAACCAAGTCAAAGGAGGGAAATATTGATATCTTTAATGACTTAAATCTTCTAACCACACCTAATGCTGTCTACCTAGCAAGCCATTTTCATATTACGCAGTTCAACAGATAAACATTTATCTTGATAAAAGTAGCAAACCCAAAAGCTTCTCCCTACTACCCACCCTTACCCCTTCTCTTCTCCTAATTTGCCAATTCCAGTGATAAAAAGTAGAAAAGTGATCAAAAGTAAAACCTTCAGTGCCTCTTCAGTTGATATTATTAAAGCAGCTAGAGTTCTGCCAAAAGCATTCCGAGTTGGAAATGGCAGAACTGCACTGCGTATGACAAGCTTGTATTGGCAAGAAATACACAACTTACTGCAAAGTGAATACTTCTTGCTACAATCTCTTGAAGGGGGGAAAAAAGAAAAAAAAAAAAGTCATGCTTTGGCAAAAATTCTCCCCCACCCAAAAATAACTTCCTTTAAACCCTTTAAAAGTTCAAAGATATTTTAAACATTTAGCTGCCACTCTTTCTTGGCTTGAGGTTTTCAATTACTCAAACTCCTTGGGTCAAAAAAACCCTCAGCTGACAAGCCTGAGCTGTGCAGCATGCCTCCAAATCACCAAAACCAGAAAAATCTGGGGGCACGCAGCATACTGCACGATAACATTTCAAAACAAACATTAATAAAAATGAAAGAGAAAGGTGCTTCAGTTGAAAGTGATAAAAATAATCCCATCATACACATCTTTAATAGAAGACTAGTAAGGTGCCTTCTTTCACTACTGTATCACTTCTCTGGTGCTTCTGCGGCATTTGGAAACAGACGTTCAGACAGAAAAGTCACAGTCCTGCCAAGCTACAGCAAAGAGTTAAAACTCCTGATCTTGCTTAGGTCAGTACTTAAGAAGGAACACAGGCATAAATAACCATTTTATAGCTGGTGAACTGAGACTCTATAACACCCCTTTTCTCTTACAAGACTTCAAGCAAATAAGATACACTTATTTTGATTGTCATGGCTAAAGTTATACAATACACAGCATATGTGCTTATAAAACAAACCCAATGAGCAAGTATTAGCTAAAAAAAAGAGAAGCCTGCTGACAGAGCAGAGGTTTTGCGTAAACACAAATGACAAATCAAGTGTAAGCTTCAGCTTCAGACGCAGGGTCTGATACTTCTTTGGTCCAAGTGTACAAAATACACCACCAAAACAGCTATAGTCCATTATCAGCTACCTGACTTTTACGCTGCCTTACTGAGCTTTCAGTCTCTGAATCAGCTAAAGGCTGTTCACTTAAGTCTTCCATTTCTTCTTCCCCTGATTCTTTTCCAAGTGCTAAATCCTCCTCTGAGTCATCAGCACTTGAATTTGCTGCATCTTCTCCATCTGAGAGATCTTTTGCATCTGCAGTCTCTTCCGCATCATCTGCGGAAAGCTCTGCAGCCTCCTCCGGTTCTTCTAATGCTGCATTCTCCACATTATCCTTTGTAATTGCTTCATCTAAACAAAAGAAGAGTTTCAAATACTGAAGTTAGACTGAATCTCAGTTACATCACCATGTTTGTATTCTGAAACATTCATAAACATTATTATTGAAAACTTGCACGGGACTACATTTTCCTTATTTTTCAATTATTTAAAATCTTCGGTAGTATTTCTCTTCCATTTTCATTTGTTTTTCTTGCATATCAGGCATAGATAGGTTTCATTTTATTCCACCAAGTTACACACTAAAGACAGATCAATTTTACTTGGCTCTTCAAAGAAGTTTAATTATCAAACAAATCAGAGGGAAAGTGCTAAGATAGTGGTAACCTCTGTCAGGTAACATCTGCTGTTGAGTCAACCAGCCAACTGGACAGAATACTGCACGAGCATGCCTGTGTTTTTCTTTTGATAGTTATAAACATCTAAGATTTTGAAGACAGTAATTTTGCACACTTTTGAATTCCAGATTTGGCTAAAGTCTCATTGGCAAGTGTCACAGATGTGTCATCTTCAACAGCAAAGCAATACACACAAATGTACACAATAAAAAAAAATATTTTTAATTACAGTTAAGTATCGACACCACTTAATAGCACAAACACACCAAAAGGTGCTCTGGAGCTCAGTACCCATCTGGTGCTGACAAGAGACTGTATTTTGTGTGCAAGATTTTGCCTCCCCATATTCACAGGGAGCAGAATACTATTTGGAAGTCCTCTCACTAAGGATCAGAAAGATGCGTGTTTTCTTATTCTATTTGAAGGAGATGCAACATCGTAGCCCCTTCCCACACCTGCAGTCTCTGGATTCCTTTGATTCTCCCTGTCTCCTCCTTTCCCCAACCACAAATTACGCAGATAATTTTTCAGGTTCAGAATGCTGCATCTCCTAATGCAATATACAGAGTGTATATTCGGTTGTGGAACTGTCTTGCCAAAGCAAATTCCTTTCTATATTTAAGCAACAGGTCTGGTGAATATACACTTGTGTAAAATACAAAGACCCCAGTATCTTTCTTCACAATTGTGAAAGCTGGACCAAAGTACTGTTGGGTTGGGGGGTTTTTTGTCCTCTTTGCTATCCTCCAGGTGGATGCCTTGACATTGATATTTTAGAGCGCAACATATCAATCCTTGCCAGTGTGACTAAATGAATACCTGCATTATGGGTTCACATCTAAGAACTTCTTGACATCAGTTCACAGCTAAGTTCTCCTTCCTACTCATGTACATTTAAACCTACAGCATCTCACCCGCTTAAGAGTTCTTACCAGATGTTTCAGTTCTGTATCTTGACTTGGATGGGCAAAGGCAGTCTGAAATCAAAACCAGTATCTGTGTAAAGAAAAAAAAAAAGGCATTCATTAGCAAACCATCCCAGCGGCCCCTGTGCTATTAGGTATTTTCCTGCTCATCCTTTTTAGGCAGACATACAATAAAATTTAGAAAATGATACTACCTTGCCTGGAGATAAGAGCTGTCCTAAGGAGCTAAATAAAAACACTAAAAAGCAGTGTGTTCTCAGTGTACACCAACCAGCGTTCTCTGCTTTCTACTCCAAATTTTCTGCCTCCTACTTCCCTAAATTTATTCTGTATTGAAACTGCCTGCATCTTAAGAGGCCCAGAACACAGAATTTTTTAATTATTTAAACTTTTGAAACCTTCTTGGTCAAGATTTTCTATATTTTAGGATGTTATTCAATTCCTACTCCTGACTCCCCAATACACAACATGTACTTCCACCTTTTGTGCTTGATTTTGTCTTTTATGGCTTTTTTTGTTGTTATTTAAAGCAGCCTAGCGTAGAACACATACAATCAAAATGCAAGGAAGATATTTGTGTCTTATTGTCATGTACGAAGAATAATGCAAAGGAAAGAAAAGAGACAGATTATACTACATGAAAGAAATAAATTTCAGTCACTGAAAGCCTTTTTAGAAAAAGCTGAGAGATTAACTTTACACTTTTTAAGCTTCTTCAGGTATAGGTTTTTTTAATGAAGGAGGAAGAAGGGAAAGATTTTTTTTTAAAATTCTCACCTTCATTTTCTCCTAGTTACTCTAACTTGATTTGCACTCATTTGGTGTTGAAAATCTACCATCTAGAGAAATGCAGCTGTTTAAGTTGTATAATAAAAGACATTTGCTTACCTATGCCAATTCTGTAAACATATTAGGTATGATCATATGGTTTTGCCTGAAGACACACACATTTTGAAATCACTTCCCTGTACTACAGAGAAATATACTGAGGACATTTCTCTTTATTTCACTAACTGAGCTGAAGAACAGTGAGCCAAGTGCCAGAAACAACCTTTACATTTCCTACATGGAATAGCGACTTAGCAGCTCGTTAAACCAGTTACCAGCATTACTGCTTTAAACTGTCTTTGCAGTTGCAGAACACAATTGCGGACCAAGCAACTAGTCTATAAGAATTTCTATTCCCATCTCTCTATATCACTTGCTCCAGCTCAGTTTCTCATTTAACATTTATATTGGAGAGGTCACAGAGCCACAGAATTCAAATACTCTGAGAGGAAATAATCCCAGCTCCACAGGAAAAGCAACTTTGAACTGTGTCCACTGATGAAACAACTTGGGACTCCGGATATGGTACTTAACATTCACATATATAGCTAATGGGTTTGTCTGAATAACCTTCCTGATGTTTTGGAGATTGATGCACCAACTCTGGGTAGTAACAAGAGAGGTCAGATTTTTCAATTACTAATGAGAACTCAAACCAAAAGATCATGGGGAAGAAAGAAGTGAAATAAGGTTTTATTAAAACCAAGCTGTAACCACAAAGCTATGCCCTGGAATAAAGTAGATCAATTAAAATACCAAATCTTCAAAGCCTTTCACAAAATATTTTCATCCTTTCATTTTGAGTAACAGTGCAGCAGCATACTTAGGTTGCTAACTCCCACAAATACAATCCCACTCCAGCTAATAAAAATCCCTCCACAAAGCTTGCATTTTTAGAAAGTTGGGAGTTTTTACACAATCCTGACCACATGCATTCAATCCCTACATACAAAAATCTTAGATGCATAAGGTCAATATAAAAATAATTTGTTTAGTGGATGAACTAAACAAATCTAAATTGAAGCATGAATTTCATAAAAAGGTTAAAGTGAAGCAGTCTTAACCTTTACCAGAAGTAGGTAATAAAATTAGAGAGGGCATCCGCAGTACTGAATACTTAAGAATTTTAACAGAATAGACTATTTCAGTTGGAAAGGACCTACAACGATCATCTAGTTCAGCTGCTAAAGCACATTATTAAGGCCATTGTCCAAATGCCCCTTAGATGCTGACAGGCTTGGGGCATTGATCACCTCTCTAGGAAGCCTGTTCCAGTGTCTGACCATCCTCTCAGTAAAGAAATGCTTCCTGATGTCTAGTACAAACCTCCCCTGGCTCAGCTCTGAACCATTCCCACTCATCCTACCACTGGATATCATGGACAAAAGATACATCACTAAGATAAGGCACTTCAGTATAGCTTATCAGGGAAATTTATTTTTTTATTTTCTTTAAATGCAAAGGTCTAGGTAACTGAGAAAAAGAAAGTAATATGCTTTCTTACCAAACCCAGGAACAGGCCAATCAATAAGGTAGCTAAGAAGAAGATTGCATAAGAAATCCAAACACGAATTCCAAGAGTGTCAGTGAGGTAGCTATGAATTTGCTGGAAATGAGAAGAAGATAGTTATTAACTTCATACCTAGCACCACTTAAACTTCATACCTAATAGCACTTATGATGTATACTGCTGTCACCATTACGTAAATTAATATCTAATTAAGACCTTTCATTTAACAGTATTTATACTAAAGTCTTCCCTCTCAAGCCCTAGTCATCCTTAAATGTCATACTGTATTTTTTTTTGATACCACTGAATCTTGTTTTTCTTTACCAAGTTGTTCACATTAAAAGACTTTTTAAGCAAAAGATGCACAATTACTTCTTCCTAAGTACGCAGCACTAGAGATGTCATATGTAATTGTATTGCGGATAAATGTATGAGGAAGGCTCAGAGCATACAGGAAAACATCAAAATATTCTTGATCCTTATATTCTATAAGAAGGTGGCAACTGTTGGAGACAGGCTGTTGGGTTAGGTGAACCCACAGCATGAACCTGTACATTTGTTCTCATGACCTCTGTCGCAGGAAGGAGACCATACAGTCAGCATCACCGATAACGACAGTCACAGCACCAACAGAAGGCTGTGAAGCTGATTATTTTAAAAAGGTAATTTAGAACCAAAAAAGCAACCAAGTCAGGTTAAAAGCAAGTGTCCTTTTATACCCAATTTCACAAGCACACCACCAAATGAAAAAAATGAAACCTCATGCAGAACTTTATCCCAATAATTACATCTGGCAAGCACAGCGGTAGATACTTAAGTTGCACAAGAACAAAATACATATTTAAATTTGAGAATTCATTCAGTAACTAAAACTAAGCCATTTAGTTCTTACTCAAGCTTTTTAGCTCTTAGAAGGAGCCATTCCAATTAGAGAATTATTTCACTTATAAACCTAAAGATAATAATCCAAATACAATATTAAGATTTCTTTGAAACTGAAGTCTGTTATTCAAACCTACAAACTGAATTGACTGAACCAAGCATCACATTGAGTCAAATAGTCTGGGTAAGAAGTAAATTATGACATTAGATTTCATCCAAGAGTATATCCATTAGAAAACAAACCACAATCAACATTTACAGAAGTTTAAGTATTGAAATTCCAGGGTGTATTTTTTCTTTCTAATGTCAGAACAGCTTCCCACATTTATTAAAGCATATGTAAGGATAGCACAGCAAGAAGAGTGAGGAAATGTACAGCTGAAATATTCATCAAAGGGGAAAGCAAATTAGTGAAGGTTTCTTCCCAGAGCATTTAATCTTTCAGGAAGGAAACTAGACAAAGGCAGCATCATTACACAGCAACCATGGAAGAGAAATGCCAGAAGGCTATAAAAACTTAATACTTTCCAGTGTAATAAAGAATCAAAGATAGCTTGCACAGGAAACCTAATAACTGAAAGCTTTGTTTGACTCTGAGTTAGTTAGATGCTTACTAGAAGTGATACAAACTCTGTTCAAACTCTCTACTACATTTATTTTTTGTAGCACGTTACAATATTAAGACCTTTTGCTACAATCAAATACAGTCTCTCAATCTTGGCTATGATTTAAAATTTTAAGAAAGAGTGTGTTTCCTAACCAAAACTAGAGAGATCTGAAAAGTCTCAGCATCTGCACACTACAGGAAAAGCTACCAAATGATAGCTTCCAAATGAAAGTGTATTGAAATATTTTTAAGCTCAAAGCATACACATTTGTGTACACTCTGCATTTATCCTTTACTTCTGGTAATTACTGTCCTTATTTGCTATGTTCCTGTCTAAGCAAATAGTGTTGACACTTTGAAATCCAGATGCAGAAATTCTTACTAAACAATAAAACCATTACCCTTTCTTCTCCAGTACATACACTAAATGCAAATGAACTGCAGAAAAGCATGATTTACAACTCTGAAAATGAACCTGGATGTAATCTCTAAGAATAGTATTAAGTAAGAGAACCTAGTAGATGCTAAATTAATTCATGATGTTTACAGCAATTTTTACAACAGCTCTCAAAAAACTACTTTATCATGTTAGCATACTTTGATAGAACATTTTAACTATACCAAGATAATAAGAACAGTAAGTATTTTCAGTATTGATGATAATCTTTATGATCAAACTGCCATTTTTGGCATAGACTAATAGTACTACAAAATTGATGGTACACAGATACTATACATCCAATGTACAGGAAATGTAAGGAAACTTTAACTTTCATAAAACGGTAATAAAAACATCCAGTTAGGTTTTGACTTCTAAACAGAATAGTATCCTAAGCATAAAGAGGGGAATGGAAGACACTAGCACATAGTTACTTACCCTGATCCAGCCAGAGAGGTGAAATACCCCTGCCATACCGTGCATCCTACAAAACAAAGATAAGGAAGGAACAGATTATAAGAGAGATAGCTCAGATACACAGCAAACTGCCAAGAAACAAAAAAAAAGATTCTATCTATAAACTTTTAATGCCATTCAGACCCTAGTTATTGCCAGAAGAAGGCTACTGCAAATAAGTACATTTGCTCTGTATTAAGCCAGCTCAACACAAAGCATTGAAACGGTGACTTGAAAGATGGCATTTGAGCATAATCAAGAAATAGCAATTCCAAACAAAGCTGTAGCTGCTTTTTCCCCAACTCACAGCAGCACACAGCCCTGTGGCTTCCCTCCCCATTACTAAAGACCCCATAGCTCTTCCTTGCTCTCACATGAAAGATAAGGACACCCACTGGATCTTTGACATGAATTTACACATAATAGCTTTAGCCGAAATGAAACACAGGCCACTCACATCTTTGGTTCATCCTTTACATCTTGCAAGCATTCTATGCTATTTCAAAGCAAATTCAATGCTTTGAAAACAAATTCTGATATATTGTATAAGCAGTTTCCTACTCCAGGGGAGGACACCAGACTTCCATGTAAATAAACAATCAATCCTTAAAGCTAAAGGCTGCCTGCTTCAAGTAGCCAGAAGTCATGAAGTAATAACCCACATAAACATGCATTTGATTCCAGCACTACCCAGATATTGAAACTGACATTTACATAATGCTCACTGGATGTACTTTTTCCTTTATATATTTTCAAAGATGATGTCAACAAGCCTTAGCAGGCACAAGCAAAAGCAAAGGCAGAAAATAAACAGCTTTTAAAGGTGACAAACTGGAAAGCAGGCTGTCAATACAGATTGCTCCTGCAGAGCCTAGACATCTGGGGGCAAAAGGCCTTTTGTCAACCTGAACGTGCTGGAGATGGGGGCGGAGAGGAACCTAATGAGGTTCAACAAGGGCAAGTGTAGGGTCCTGCACCTTGGGAGGAATAACCCCACACACCGGTACAGGTTAGGGGTTAACCTGCTGGAAAGCAGCTCTGCAGAGAGAGACCTGGGATCCTGGTTGACAAGTTGACCATAGGGTAGCAATGTGCCCTCGTGGCCAAGGTAGCAAATGGTCTCCTGGGATGCATTAAAGAGAACATGGTAAGCAGGTCGAGGGAGATCATTCTCCCCCTCTAGGGGTTAACCTGCTGGAAAGCAGCTCTGCAGAGAGAGACCTGGGATCCTGGTTGACAAGTTGACCATAGGGTAGCAATGTGCCCTCGTGGCCAAGGTAGCAAATGGTCTCCTGGGATGCATTAAAGAGAACATGGTAAGCAGGTCGAGGGAGATCATTCTCCCCCTCTACCGCGCCCTGGTGAGGCCTCATCTGGATTACTGTATCCAGTGCTGTGCTCTGCAGTTCAAGAACAGGGAACTGCTGGAAAGGGTACAGCAGAGGACCACAAAGACAATCAAGGAAATGGAGCATCTCTCTTATACGGAAAGGCTGAGAGACCTGGGTCTGTTTAGCCTGGAGAAGAGAAGACTGAGAGGAGATCTTATCAATGCATAGAAATATGTAAAGAGCGGGTGTCAAGCGGATGGGGCCAGACTCTTTTCAGTGGTGCCCAGTGGCAGGACAAGGGACAAAGGACACAAGCTGGAGCACAGAAAATTCCATCTCAAGGAAAAACTTCTTTACTTTAAGGGTAACACAGGACTGGATCTGCTCAGAGAGGCTGTGGAGTCTCCTTTTCTGGAGATATTAAAAATATTCTGGATGCTTTCCTTTCCAGCTCCTCTAGGGGACATTGCTTTGGCAGGGGATTTGACTAAGATGATCTCCAAAGGTCCCCTCCAACCCCTACAATTCTGTGATTAAGCTGTCAACATCGCACCCTTAATGAATAATAAGCTATAAAACATGCTTCTTGTTAATAAAAAACAAAGTGTTACATTATAGAAGATGGAGACCTCCATCCTGCTACGGGCTCCACAGCTTTCCATTTTCTCTCTAAAACGTAACCTTGAAGCTCTTCTAATGTTCGTGAGCCTCGGTATCTGCGAAATATTCCATCATTTGCACTGAAAAACAGAAATACTCATTAACACAGATGGGCCTTAAACTGTATCTGTGGTTAAGAAAACCTTATATACATTATAGATTTGACTTGCTCAGAAAATTGAACACCTAAGATTTTCAATATGTTTTGAAACTATAATCCATGATGGAAGGTTTCAGCTTTTTAACATGAAACTTTGCCATTTATTAAAACAGTTATTTTTGTTAAATACTCACTCATACTACAGTAAATACAAAGCACATGAGGTTAACAACCAAACCATTTTTTAGAGACAACTGAGAATTAAAGGTGTGCTTATAAATACGTGTGTATACATATATTTGCATGACTCATAATACCATGACTTAATAAAGAGTTCAATATTTAAAGGATGACATCTTTTTATTGGAGAAGAGATACAACAAGTGTCTTTCCTGATCTGTTTTTAACAGTATTGGTAATGTGCTTCAACTAAAGAAAAGCCTCAGATGAAGACTATATCAATACAATCAAAGCTCTAAACAATAACCTGAACTGAAATCAAAAGTCAGTAATCCTTCATTTTTACCTGCATTTCAGAGTTACAGTTTAAAAAAAAGGACAAGTAGGAGTCAACAGGTACATATTGGTAGAGAGTCAAGAGTTGAAGAATTCTAGCAGTAAGAGAAGCAGTACCACAAACAGTGGAAAATTTCTCTACTGTTTTACGTTCAACCTATGCAGTCAATTATTCAAATGAGAAATTTTAGTGACACTTACATAAGGTCAAGTATGTCTGCTCACATACGGTCAGACTTCTAGAAGTCAATACAGCAAACTTGCACCAACGTTTACAAATGCTATTAAATGTTGTTTCCAGACTGAAAAAACATCACTTTTATCTAAGTACAAAACTGTTTGTAGGAAAACCTTCCACCGTTAAGTTAAAAATAAACACTTTGTGTTCATTTAGTGCATTGAGCTCCTGAGAAATGTTTTAGAGATGGATAAAATGGAAATAAGCCAGTTGTCCATTACATTTTCCATGCCACTGTTCAAATAGGACAGGAGAAAAGAACACATACTGAAACAGTCAACTGTATCTAGGTATGACACACTTACTGGTAAATTGTAGGAAGTGTTGTGACAAAGAAACGACCACTCAAACCTATAAAGGAAAGAAAAAGCCACATCAAATAGTTAAATAAAACTGAAATTTCTCAGTATTCTGATTTATCTATAAATATCTACAGATCTGTATTTGTAGACTAGAAAGCAGCACACTGTATAGCTTTTACCACTGTTCTGTAAATATGGGTTAACAGTTTGTCTTCAGAAATGCTACAAGCAGTAAAAGGTAAGAAATACTGTTGACAAATTAAGGAAAAATGCTGACCTTGAAGAATACTGACTACAAGATAATTTTTCTACTTGGATTTCCCAACCAGTATTTGCCCGCAGCTGAAGTTTTAGAGCAGACCAGCAGTGTGCCCCTCCAACAAAGAGGCAGAAGAGCTGCACAAATGCACACATATTCCAGTATGCTATAAACTTGTGTCTGTAAATAGTCTCATCCAGATGACCTTTGTTTAATCTAAAATTCGGGACACTAACAATAGCAATGACAACAATGCCTTACAAACACTAACTACTGCTTTTAATTCATTCTCTAGCTGATTTTAAATGATTCAAGAGCCGCACACTTCAGATCTCAGGTACTTCAAGACATTAAATAAATTAATCTTTGGATTTGCTTGTTTGCCTCTTCCAAATAATCAGTGCACATTGCACAACCAGTCTGTTCTTATATCCTGTAGGAAGGTTCAATCTCTCTTGTAAACACGACCGTAGCAAGACAATGTTCTGGATGTTTCTAGGTCCTTATCCTTCTCTTCCAATACACCACTACTCTCTAGGTAAATACACCTGGTATGCCAAGAGACTGACAATAAAGCTTGGGATGTCTCAGCATTCTCTTCTATAAAATATTGCCCACTGAAGCCATGAGAATAATTTAACCATTTTTCACACCATCCAGAAAGGTGGGTCGTGTCAGAATTTTAAGTAACAGACATAAAACAGCAGAAAGGACAAAAAAAGGTTGAAGCAGGGCTTCAAGAGGCTGACTGGAATTGATCCCCACACTGAAAGTGAGTGTTTCATTGACTGGAAAATACATAATAATCTTTTTACAAGCACTACCCCAGATGGTGACAACATAACGCAACTCATAGGACAGAATCTAGCACCATATCATCAAAAAGCAGCTTGTGGGGCAGAAGGTATTTGAAATTCTTTGGTTTTGCGCTCAGTACTGCTACAGAGCAATTGGTGCAAGTAACTTCCAGCATCACTGCTGCATTAGGTACACCCATGAAGATCTCCCAGTGTATGGAAAGCCAGCTGTGAAGCAGAAAGCTCCCAAACATCTCATAAGGAGGCTGTCTGTATGACTCAACTAGCTAAGCTGCCAGGTGAAGACATCACTCACTCTCCTCTGCTTCCAAATCTGAGGAAAGTCAGGGCTACTTGATGCTACCACATCCTGACAGTTACAAAACCTGCAAATGAGAGGAAGAATTCACCTTAGTGCTTAGTAATATTATTTACTATTCAACACATCCCATTTAAAGACTGCAGAAATGAAAAATGTGCTATTAATGCAGTCTATTTCGGAAAAAAAATACAGCAGACTTCAAAGATTATCAACCCCTGGATATGCAGTCCAAGTCCATTAGTAAGGGGCTAAATTCCTTTAGTCAGCAATTGCCATTCATATAAAGTACCAAACAGTTATTTAACTTTTCCTTTTATAAATTTCTGTGAAAGTCTTTTGGGAAACTTGAGTCCGTATTTGGCTTTCAATAAAGTAAACCTCTTCTGGCACCAGGAAGTTAACCATGGAAAAGTATTGTTGCAAGAGAGTTTCTGCCTTTGGAGACAAAGACGAGCCAGAGTGAACTGAGCCAGGTATTTTAAAAAGTTTCAGTAATGTTTTTTCTAGTGTGACCTCCCCTATGGAAGAGGCATAGAACGGTTGTGAATTTTTTTGTTGGTTGGGTTGGGATTTTTATTGGTTTTCTTGTTTTTCTTTTTCTTTTTTGAAGATGTTTAAATCAAACCAAGCACCTTTAAAGTTCTAAAAAGGAAGTCGTCTTCATGTCAACTTTCCAGCTTTCTGCCTTTATTGCTATGTGAGGCAGGGTGGTGGAAAACTTCATAAACAGCTAAAAGCTGTGCCAGCACAGGCAGATATTAAGTAAACAGAAAAACAAGTGTAACAGTAGAATTCACCAAGCAGAAAGCACAGCTGCGCAAGAAAAACTAGGTGGAGAGTCATAAAGAACATAATAAGCTTAAGAGCAGAGAAAGTCATAAGAACACTCAAAGATTCTCTCACATTCCTACAAATGCTAGTCAAGCAAACAGAAAATGAAACAGCTAGCTTTAAATCTCTTTTACCAGCAGCCTATGCTAGAGGAAGCACCAATGGTCTCAGAATTAACAATGAAATCTGTAAATTATAAAATGCGTTGCCAAAATGCACCTAAGCATCCCCAGAACTTTAACTGGAGGTTTGTTGCTTATCTTAGAGACCTCTGCTGAACAGTAAAAGCAGATGCGAGTCAGCTACAAAGAGCTAAGCACAGACAGTAAATTGTTTTGGTGCAGTATAATACAAACTTGAACTGGTTAATAGTTTAACTTGAAATACAGTTAAGCATCTGTCTTTGCAAATTAAAAACAGATATACACCCATTATGAAGTCAACAGCTAAATAAGAATAGGAAAAATCCTTAAGTATTTGGACACCACCCTCAACCCCCCAAAATACACACAGACTATAGATGCCATCTAAAAATACAGCTGCTTTCACTAAACAACTACTCCAAGAAGACTACAGAAGGTCCAAGAAGTCTCATTTTAAATCAATGATAAATGTGATTGGGAGCTTAAGAAAAGCACCACAAATATACAGAACTTTGAGAAGCATCTCCATTACTTGCTCTTGAAATACTGAATGTTTCAATAGAAAAGATGAGGAAAGAATAAGCACTTTAAGCCTAGTACATCAATTGACCAAAATACACTGTAAATCCATTAAGGCTCTGGTGGATTTATTCTGCCAGAGTAGAATCTGCTGTAATTAAGTACCATGAATGGCTACTTTCTCCTGCAGGTTTTGGAAGTGTAATTTTACGCAACCCTGCACTCATCTAGTGGTTTTCCTCTAATTTAACGCATTTTGACTACTTTCAATTTGATGAAGAGGTTACATAATCAAAACTAATTAAGGTACCTTGTGCAAGAAAGAACAAGAGATAAGAGCGCTTCAGCACACCAACCAAAAGCCTGAAGCACAAACCTATAGTAAAAATACCTCAGTAACTTTGGAAAGCTTCCAAAGGAGCTCACATACCTTCAAAATCACATCAGCACCAAAGGTCAAATCTGGAATAAATCTTTGTTTTCCAGTTTGAGTATTCATTAGTTTTAGAAGTGGCTACAGTGTTCATGCTTTGTGCTGAACTGGATATCGTAGATATATTACACATGCTTAGGTACAAATTCATCATTTTGGGTCAGTCAGACTTGTAGAAGTCAAATATCCTCAGAGGTCAAGACTCAGCAACATTAGAAATTCAAATATTTAAGAAACTCCTAGTTAAATGTACTATCTAAAGTCTTCAGAATCTGGCATCATTCAGCAGTCAGAAAAATTTAGAGCAAAAGAAAGTATCAAGTATTCAGGTCCCAACACTGCCATTCAAGTTTTTTACTTGAAGAATAATTTCTTTGAGATCTCAAGGATTTTAATTTTACAGCATCACTTCTGGAAGTACATCTTTAAGTTACAGTCATATCCAAATGCCACAATCAAGACTGAAATCCTCCTATTTGAATATTGCATAAAAGAATCCCTGTCTAATTAGGAGAAAATAACAAGTTGCGATTATAATGAATCCCCATTTGCAGCCTTAACTCCAGAGTAACCACGACTTTGTTAATGTGCAGAAGCTAAGTTTATATCTATGCAAAAAATTTAATATTCAAACTCACCTGTTTAATAAACTGTTAAGGATTAACATATGCACTAAAGGAGAACTCCACAACAACAGCTTTTTATTACCAGAGTTTTTATATACTTCTAAACTTTTAACAAAACATTAACCTACACAAGATCTAGAACAGCTGGTATTTTCTCATGAACTTAAATTGCTCTTAGACCAGAGTTTAAGTCATTTCCCTTCTGTTAACTTGATAAAGCTAACTTGTTTGGCATGCTTTCAAATAATAAAATGGACATATTTTCCACACACTTTATAAGGCAAACAAACAAAAAAAAAAAATCAGTAAAGCTTAGTCTTTGTATTTTAGTAACATCTCTTCCTAACTCCGTCAGTCTTTTGATACTACTGATGAAACCTTTTATCCCCTCAAAACAAAAATAAGCATAAAGCAAGAAATGCAGAGGTTTGAACAACATCGGTACTGCTTACACAAACACATATTCAAAACTTTGAAGGGAGTCACTAAAGGAATAAGTAAGATTCCTGCTTCTGTGGATAGTAAGGAAACTCTTTTTGTAAACACATTTGTATATGTGCATCACCAACAGAAAAAAACAATAATGTCTGTATTTTAAAACACTACAACAATTAAACAAGACAATAAACCAGCACCATCATGGAAATAGTTAAGAATTTATTAGAGCAGGCTCACACTGTGGTAATGCTACCACACCCTGAACCTCTTGGTAACTGGAGGCTACAGAATTGGATTCTTCAGCAGTTTGGAGGAGAAAGGAATGAGGCAGGCCACAGCTTTCAGTGGAGTAGATTAAAATAGAGAATAAGTCCCTTTTAGTACAGTATTAAGCCAGATCACTCCCCAGTTCTTTAATCCTTCAAATTGAATTTATAAACTTAGGTTCACAGATATGAACTACATGGAGGAGCAAAATGTGGATAATATTCTTTTGATTTAGAAACTTCTTTTTTAACTTGGCTTGTATCCTAGTTACTCTAGTAAAATAAAGCATACCCCCAGACACTAAGTGTTATTATACCCAATAATTCCTTTTATTAAAATAGTCAATTTCATATTATACCTGGTTCTTGAGTGACATCCACCTTTCCCACAGTGATACCCAGATGCTCGCTTTCCTTTGCAAAACTCTCCCACGTCAATTCAATCTGTTGACAAGCTGCACACCAAGGAGCATAGCTAAAGGGGAAAGACAGGTTAAATATTTTAATATTCTCACACTTACAGACATTCAAATTGATTTACCGTACAGAGAAAATACAAACACATCAATCACAGAGGAAAAAAAACCCTACATTTTTTCTTAATCAGGTCTACTGTTTCCCTCTACACCAGGCACTTTTAAGATTCAGCTGGAGAAGGTGCTGGGCCATTTTGTCTAGACTGCGCTACTGCCAAGAAGGATTGGCCCAGATGATCCTTGAGGTCCCTTCCAACCTGGTATTCTATGCTAATCAAGTAGTTTTGTATCAATCCCCACGTTCCTCCTCATGTCATTAAAATAAAAATCTCCACAGGTTTGAGAAATTCAGATCCAAACCCCTCACCCTTGTGATTTGTTCTATTTAAGTATGCAATAAATCCATTTCCATGGCAGCTATCCAAAGCACTAGCCTTCAACATAACATTTTGTATTTAATTCCTCAAAACTTCTGGAAATTTGCCTTAGTCTACTAGTCAGTACATCAAAGCATGCCCTTTTGGATAGCACTCTTTAGTGATGTAAAAAGAGTGCACATCAAATTCCTACTGCTCATACCAATTGTCTTTCTCAAGTTCTGTTTTTTCTTAGAAATAATCTCAGCAAAACAAGAAAGCCTGTTTCAAGAGCTGAGTTTTCTACACTACTAATCAGAATAATCAAACCAAGTTTGCAGTTGTTATTGATAATATCAGATAACACTTAAATGCTGATAAAACACCATTTGCCATCTTTATGTATTTTACCCTAAGTTGTTTGACAAAGCCTATGTCAAACATGTGCAGCTTGCAATAGTCTGCCATATACTCAACTAAGCTAACACAGAACAGCTAGGTATAGCATGTAACTGAGCCACAGCAGTTGACCATACACAGACAACCTTTATAAATTAGAAAAAAAAAAACCTTCATGCGATTTAACTTGATTTATTGGGGAGGTGGTTGGGAGGTGAGGGGGTGAGGTGGAAACGTACATATGCAGATTTCTGGTATTTTAAAATGAAAGGTAACAAACAGTAGTGGGTCTAGAGGCACAGTACTTCTCACAGTACTCCAGATGATGCTACCATGCTCCTCTTTCATTGTTAACAATAGCAACAAATTTCTTCATGGGCAGAGTGATAACCTTAACAGCCCACATAACCACTAGACTCTAACTGGGAACCTCTACAAGGAGCTCCCTTACTCCTTCCATTTGTCTGCCAGTACTACTACCTGACTTCATGAGCAGCACTTCCTATTGTCTGGCCATCGTCTCATAAGAAATGCTTACTTTCTTAGTGGATGCAAATAGACATTTCCCCAGTCACCCACAAATGTTTCAAACTAATAAGACTGAACCAAAACCAGGTAATTTCGCATAGAAGAGGTAGAATTAAATTTACTCTGAGTACTAATGGCAATTTTGAAACCTAAGTAGTTAAAAAAGGAATCTTATCATTTGGAAGTTAAAAGAATACAATTTAAAAATATGTGTTGCATTTAACTGTAGTAGAAATTTATGTCTCTAAGTATGAAAGTCAATACCTTGCTTTCTGGAATCAACATCATTCTGTGTGAAAGTATCTAAAAAATGTCTGCCAAGAAACAACCCCTCTATCTTTTAAAAAGATCTTGGAAACAAGTCACATGCAGAATTGCGTTCCATTGTGCTGCTGGCATATGGAGTGCTTTTAATAATAGGTTGACAGATACTGTACTTTACAAACAGTATTATTTTATTACAGTAGCTTGACTGACAAGTCAGAAACTGCATACATCCATGAGATAATCCTGCTCATGGTGCTACAAAATTAAAGACAGAAGTTGAAATGTTTTCTGAATCCAGCTTCTCTAGATGCGGCAAATTCATGCCATGAGATTTTCAAGACTAATGCACCCTTTAGCCTGTTTAAGGTACTATCTGATCCCGAAACAGAAATTTGAAATCTATCAATATTTATGTTTACATTTTACATTAATAAGCATTTCTTCTAAATGAAAGTGGAATATTACACACATGGCTAATATTCATATGATTACAAACATTTTCTTTAGCTCAAAGCAGCATTAAAATCCTCCCATATGACAGTTTGGTAGTGACAGAACACAAAAATGAACTTCACAAAAAGCCTTAGTTGTTGGCTGCTTAGTTTTTATTACCAGTATTGGATGTGGGATGGCAACAGTCACATACAGTGCTACAAGATCCATCCACTCCAGCTGAACACTGGCACAGGCAATCAGGCTTAAACTATTTGTTTTTCATTCCTGACATTACATGTTCAATGTTTTTCCAGCCAGGAAACACCCTGTCCCTACATATACAAGAGAGAACTTGCAATAGACATCAGATTTTTGCAGAGTTATCACTGCTGTTTACTTCAACAGCCTCACTGTTCTGAAGCTTTGATGTCGACGTTTGTTATGCAGCTCTTGAAGCACCAAGAATTCACTAGTGCCTCCCGGATTAACAAAAACATTCTATGGCCAAAAGCTTTATTGCCTCTCACTCTTAAAATACCTCCCCTTACACTTTCAGCAAGATACAGAACAGTAAAGTACTTCACACTTTGGTCACCTTTATCAACAGCTTCAAAAAACTTTTTGCACCCTGAAGAACTGAAGCTTAAGGAGGTACTTTATTTCAATGTAGGCTTCTAATGAATCCTTTAGAGCTGTGGTGGCCACTTTGTATTTCTGCAAGAGTGACAGTACAACTACCATTTTTATCTTCCCCAGGAAGAAAAACAAAAAAAATCATCTGTAGGAACAGGAAAACAGACCCACGTGTGAGTTGTGAAACCAGTCTTCATTATTCCTCAACAAGTCACAAAATGCATGACCAGGTCACCTACAAAAGCAGATGTAACCAAATTTCTTCTGCTATATTCCACAGACAGAGCAGGATATAATTAGCACCTCGTCAACACCACCAAATTTAGGGTTGTTACTCCTCTAGCTTCTCCCTTTGCACAAGGGGACACCTTTAGCTGTTAACTTGCTTGCACTTTGCCATATGCCATACAAGCGTGCCAAGAAAACAGCACTTGGGTGTTTCCAACTTAAAACCAAAGTCCACCGGAATTTAAATCAAGAGCTGGGCATTTGGTTAAGGAAAGAAAGTTTTTCTTAGCCTGTTACACATTACAAAGCAATTTACTGACCTCCACCATTTAGAAATCAGACTGAAAACAACACATACTTATTAATTACACATTGCCAAGTTATTCAGTGCAAGCAGGTATCACACATCTCTCAACATACACCTCATTTGTGGCATTACCAGACCTCACCTCTTACATAGTACAAAGTTTTACAACGATCCTCATGCACTGTCTACCATCCACAAATGAGTCAACTAACATCTATCAACTGGTCAGGTTCATTGCAAGAACAATTTACTTAAGTGGACTAAAATCACTATTTCAACGTAGCCAGGTATTCTCCAATGCCTACTTCAATCCATTACAATACCCAAAGCTTTTTCAGAGAGCATAAATATAACAATCCAAAAGCAAAATTTTAAGCTCTTATAAAACTCAAAAGCAAAATATACCTCTGAAATAAAGCACAAAAGACCAAGATTTGGCTTCCAAATATCAGCAACTTTACCAATGGATGCAACTAAAAAAAAAAAAAAGCCACAAAACCACAAAAAATGACCTTAAGTTAAAGCCAGTTTGAACAAATACACTAATCAGTCATTTCACTACAATGTTGATCAGCAAACCTGGAATGATTTTAATAAGATTTACTGATACACAGTTTCCAATTCCAAGCCACTAATCTCTCTCCTTGTAACTGCTTGGCTAGGAAATTCACCAATTCACTCATTTTCAAATGAATGTAACTGACTTATCAGATTTTTTCACTACCAGTAACTATCAGTGTTGAACAGATGTAACCTCAAATAACATTCTATACTTTAATGATAATGTCACAAAGTTGCAAGAATCTAGGAACAAAAGAAAAAAACAGCTTACATATATAGGCATGAGAGAATTCGCTAAAACAGCAAAATAGACAAGATGAAATTTTCCCTGTTCAGTCTAGTTTTTCTCGATTCAAGGCACACAACTTTTATAAAAGGTACTGCTTACACTAAACCAAGCTATTTGCTGGATTTCAGGGGTTAATATTAAAAATAGATGTGCAAATGTTGAGACAGTACCTAATAGAATGGTAAAAACAATAACAGAATGAAATAGCTTTCATTCTTTAAAGTAGTTTTTTCTTATTGCTACAGAGTTCATAAACATACAAAAAAAAAAAAGACAGTTGCTGATGTCTTTGGGTGTTATCTTAAGACTACTATTTGTTTAGTTCTTGTTCTTAAATACAGATAGCCCTTGAGGCAGAATAGGCATTGTCGTAATTTCAACAGAAGATAAGCTTCAGAAAGTCAACTCTATGGTTTTAATCTACTTTTCAAGTGAGCGGGTGGTAGGCAAAGACACAGAAGTTAGTCCCTGTAATCTACTAATGCCTTTATCACAATAGTACAGGCTCTGGAAGCTGACAAGAAGTTTTCTCCAGCATGGCAAAACCACTCCAAAACAGAGAAGGCCTCCTAACCCAAAAATGCTTGCTCCACAACAGTTAAACAAGTTTTTAATTTACAAACTGCTGAAGCCCTAGCTATCTCAAAGAGAAAACAAAGGAGGCTTCTTCCCTGGATTCTCCTGCCAAGCTTCACTCAAATGTTTTTAATCACAGATGGGCCTGCTGAAGTGATAATACACCATGACACCGTTCTGGGGAAGTTGTTTCAGCATGCAGGCCCAACCTTATGAATTCCCATTCTGCGATTCCTACTTCAGTAACCTGACATGTACACCATTTCCAATAATACCTGAATAAAGGGGAAAAGTAACTGCATACCATTGTGATGCACTAAAAGTCAAGCAAATCGTATTCTTTCAGACAATGTTCAAGTGCTACTTTCCACTTGTTCTACAGCTGAGTAACAAGATGCATTCCAAACTTCCAAGAATAAGATGAGAAGCAAAGCAGGGTATATTGTACTTATTTAGCTCTCTATTCTTAAAAACAAGAAAAGCATAAGAGTGCTATCCACAGTTAAAAAAAAAAAAAAAAAAAAGAAGAAAGAAAAAGGACCCCAGCAACTTTACATTCACAAGCTTTTTTAAAGACAGAGAACTGATTTTTAAAATGTAAAGCCAATCAATCACTGAAAAATGATGTGAAATCTTCTAGAACTTGAACAGATTAACTTCCATCATTCTAGATATATTTGCTCCCTTCTAATCCTATCCTATCCCTTGCCGCTAAGGATATTTCAGTTTCCCATTTTATCAGTTTCTGTTCAGCCAATGCATGGCACATTAGCCACGTTTGGTTATTTAATAAGAGTCCATAGATAATTTGGTCACTTCCTCTGAACTCAGTCAGTGGGGCTGCAGAAGCTTCAGAACCAAAACAGATCTTTGGTGACTTCATTTTCATTCCCCCCTGCTAGTTGGGGTGTTGTTTTGTTTTTTTAAGACTAAGACAAAGAAAAGCCTGGATACTAACAAATCAAGAGGAAGTAGAAGACTACACTCATATAAATGTCAGAAAATTCCCAATCTTACAGAACTCTAAATCTGTTACAATCATTGAAGAATTCCATAAATTATTTAACAGTGTTTCATGTCAATTGTTTAAAAGCATTAAACCATGTAAATACCAAAACGTTCACCCAGATCTTTAGCACACTCCCTTGAAACTACAGACAAAAGTGCTAGTGGGAGGACTGAACCCTTGTGATAATGTGAATTACCAGATAGCAGGGCAATATTTAACAATAAACAACAATGAGAAAATAAAGTATGGGCCTATGCTATAGGTATGATAAGCTAGCCTTGAGAACATTACTACTACTTACACTGTTCTCCTGATATTCACCTGGCTAGAATTAAAATAGTAAATTAAGACATTCTTTTTTAGGTACACACAGCACTAAGTCTGTACTGAAACAAACAGGAACCAAAACATTTAATACCCTGTGTGGGAACTAAACTTGAGATTTTCCTGATAGGATAGTTCCTAAAGTACTGCAGGTGCAACAGGGGCATATTAAACAGCTTCATTTTTAACAGGAGGCATAAAGACAACAAGTTTATTATTGAGGGGTTTTTGGTGTGTGTTTGTTTTAATCTACTTCAAAAAGAAGATGATGTTAAATTAAGATCAATCAAGCTTGGAACAAGCTATGTTTGCAAAATGCACTTTTAGATAAACAGACCAGAAATTATTTTTTTATATTCCTAATAGACACAATATTAAAAATAAAGACAAAAAGAAAATTCCTCATATTAACGCACCATTATCTTGCAGCTACAGACTAAAAGTTAGTCAATAAGGAAACCTTTTATAACAGTTCATTCCAGCATCACACTCACAGCACTTCAGCCAGGATCTGTGTGCTGCGATAGTAACAGTAAGCAAAAAGTGTTGCAATGTCTTTCAGAGACACAGTTACCCAGAACATTTTTATCAATGAAATGCAGCAGTGGTTCCAGTGACTGCAATTTTGCCAGCTATGAATAACTGAATATTTACAAAAAGACAGCCAAGCACACACACTTCAGCTAGGAGGGATGAAGGAAGAAAAATTTTCACTACAAATCCCACACACAAGTAATTTCTGACTTAAGTTTCTCTATTTATGCACCTGAGGTCAATAAAAAAGCAGCAGCATACAGCAATTTGGCAACCCTACTTCCACTAGTCAAAAAAATGACATTAAACAGAAATAGTAGTACCCATTCCTACCAGGCCAGAAAGCTTCAAACCAGTAATCTAAAGCAGGTGACCAAAACAAGTCTTTTTTTTTTTTTTTTCAGAGAGACCCTATAATAACATTTACATTTTAAAAAAAAGTGCTGCTTGGAAAACAAAGGTCTTATAAACAAACAGGAGGTTCTTTGAGCAAGTGAGGCTTTGATGAACAGTATCGCAGTCTTGCCAACAGTCCTACCACACAGCATGGGAGGAACCAGACCACCAGCTCTAAAACAAACAAAAATCAGTATAAGCCAGAATCCATCAGCATGAAAACAACTGCAAGAATCGTAAAAAAATCAATACTAGATCTCAAACTCCTGTTTAGCCACAACTGGGAATCTGAAACTCTCACTAATTTGGGAACAGCAGCATTGAGGTAGCAGACAGACAAACATTCCTTCTCACTTAGGAGGAAAGCAGAAAGCACTAGAATGTACCACAGAAAGTAGCATGGAGACCCAAGGACCTTTCACACAAACACTGTACATAAAAGAAAATCTAATTTAACTAATGTAGCAACATGTACCATATTCAGCTAGCACTAAAGCTAACTTTGCCACCATTGCAATTATCAGCTACCTGTCACTCCAAACCACAGTACAATGTTTCAAATGGAGTAAAGACTCACAAAGGATTTTAACTATTCGCTATCCTAACCACTTCTGCTGCAGTCCTGTTGCTTCCTCGGGGGCAGGCACCACTAATTATTCAAATATTTTCTCTTAGAAATAAAAACTTTGAGTCACCATAAACAACCTTGTTCCTCCTTAAGATTCACTAACTCCTACATGAATCCGCAACTTTCATAAAACAGCTTTCACATAGGTCTAGGATGTCAGAAGTGGAAAAAAGCTCAATTTAAAAAATAAATTTATTTTCTCCTACTCCAAGATCATCTCTTTCCCCACCATTTAGAACACAATAAATGAAAATGAGGGAAAAAAAAAAAAAAAATCAAACCCAAATCCTTTGCAACAACAGTGGGCATCCCTGGGTACCGCAATCAGCTACTTCAGGATTGTTCCCGTCTATTCACTAATTAATACCAGGTTTCCAGTAGGATGCTGAGCATTAAAGCCCTAGGGGAAGTGATAGTCCCTCCATCTAATAAGAGACTATAGCTAACAAATTCAATATTAAAACAAAGCTTAAAGCAAGTGGTAACTATTTAGGAGAGAGCATGAGTTCAGATGTTGACAGGCAACCTAGTCTGTTTTACAGGCTACCCAGACTGTTTCAAACTGCTCAAACTCAAGCACTTCCACAGAGCAGCAGCACACATGCCACAGTAAAATCCTATTTCATAGCCGTACAGCACACAGAGATCATGCCAGCATTCAGCCTACTTAAACTACTTTTTCTTTTTTTAACTGCTGTCTTAAAAAAAAGCCCTCAAGTTCCTTTTCCCCCTTCTAAAATACATGCAGGTGAGCGCAAAATGTCACGTGCACTTCAAGAACAGTATCATGTCACACGTGAAGCCATGACAGCACTTCTAACTAACAGAAGCACTTAAAACCCTAGCCCACACCAGGCAAACCTCTCTAGCTGTCACCAGGATAAAGCAACAGCCGCGCTGAAAACTTAATGAAATCTGCTGCTTCTCCTTCGAGCAGGAACTCTAGGGCAACGTGGCTGGAAGTGAGGGTGTAGGGGAACATTGTGCAAGGCTTACCACTTTGGAAACCTACTCCTACTGAACGTTACCTACCGAATTCAGCCTTCCTAGCTTGCACAGAACGCAGTGAAAGCCCCAGCCGGGCAAGCAGTGCAAGGTGCAGTGCCTGACGCTACCCCCCAGCAGGCACTTGTCTTGAATAACACCACTGAAATGTGATCAGTGACACCAGGGCTTACCGAGACGTGCCCGGTTTAACCTTGGGGCCCTCAGGCGCCCTGTGCCCGGGCAAGACCAGCCCCTGAAGGAAAGCCACCTTTACCACACCACCTCCGGTTAGGTGTGCGTGAGCCTGCAAAGCTCAGGCCCGACAACGCCTGGTGGAAGGGGGGACTCGGGAGTATTAGGTGTCCCTGTGGGTGGACGCCCCCCCGCCCCGAGCCGGCCACCGCAGGGGCGGGGAAGGTGCGCGGCTGCTCCCGCACTGCCCTTCGCGGGATAGGGAAGGCCGGCACCGCTCGGACCCTCTCTCCCCGCACCGCTTACCGGCCACACCGGCCTCCCCGAGCTGAGGGAACTCCCCCCCTCACCTCCCCTCCCCGGCACGGTGCCTCTGAGGCGGGCGGGACAGCGGCCGTTACTCACAACTCCAACATCCACTGGCCCTGCAACACCAGGCTCCAGTTGGAGCCGCCCAGCACTTGCACGCGGCTCCGCGGCTCGCCGGGGCTGCCCGCCCGGGAGGAGGAAGAGAAGGCGGCGGCGGCGGCGGGGGGACCCAGCGCGGCTGCGAGGAGCAGAGCGGCCGCGGCGCAGGGCAGAAACTGTCGCCCGCCCCAGCCGCCCGCCG